AATAGGACAGCAAAATATTTGAGACTTTGCTCACCCGAAGAGTAATGCATTGACTCATCGACTCCTCGACTCCGGACCAGCAAAATATTCTCTAAAATGTGCATTCATTACATTAACATTACATTAACGTTATAAATAAGGCATTTGATGAGTCATTTAATATTCAGACTCATAAAAGTAGTGAATTTGGGAATTGCCAACAAAATTAAATTATTTAATTGCATTATTCTCACTAATTATACTATCACTAATTTATAAATTTTATCCAATTTGTATACAAATTGACTCAATTATAAGAAAACTTGGACATCCCCCGATTAGTGGGGTGGTGCTATGGAGGAGCGTATGCTTACAGTTCACATTCAATTCACACTCAATGCATACTTCAATCAAACCGTTAGACAGGATGTGAAAGAGGGGTAGAATTGTGGGGAATTCCATATAAATGCGAGCGAAAGAGAGGGAAAAGAGTCGTATGGGAGAGTCGTTGGGGAGGGTTATCAGGCAAAATAGCTCACTTATACTATTGTATAGATATAGATGAATAGAGAGAATATATTTGTAAAATACCCTAATAATTAATTTTGAATTAATAATTAACCATTAAACAAGTTCAACATCAATAGACATTTTGTATTATACAAAGAATAATACAATTGTATAACAAACTTGTAACACAAACTTTGTATTTTGATCAAGCTGATCACTGATCAGTGATCAGATCAACCAATATTTAGCTAAATAGTGTGTCAAAGTTTGAAACGTACAGTACGTTCAGTATTTCAATACATACAATACATTTACCATATATTTAGAGCAGAGATTATTCGGGAATAAAAACAACCAAATTCGGTCGGGACCGGGAGTAAAACAGTCAAATTCGGGAATAATCGGGAATATTCAGGAATTAACGTTTATTCAGTTCAAACACAATAATAACAGATATAAATCACTTTAAAATGAACTATAACAGGTAGAATGACATAGAAATTGCAGTTTAACTTTTTAAGTCTGTCTTCTATTTGTTATAATATTCTTAAATTGAGAGAAAAAACGTTCAACATCGTCAAACCCATTTTAGTGCATATTTTGTTAGACATCATATCTAAAAATTTTGTGGATTTTTATAATTATATTTTTAGTTTTTCTTGAAAAATAGTGCGTTTTACCTATTTTGAATAAAATTTCGGATTTCCCCCCTCCTAAAATATGTCAAAATCGGGAATATTCTGAAAATATGTCAAAATCGGGAGTATTTGGGAAAATAAAAATGGTATATTTTTACTCCATTATAACCTCGAAGTCTAACTGCATGTTATTCCCGAACACTCTGTTAACTAATTTTATTCGGGAATTCCCGAAATATCTCTGCTCTACATATATTTGATGCATTGCTGCCATCCTTTGAGTGTTGGGATTGTTTGAGGCGTTTCTGATGGAAGTGTTGTGAAAGAGTGGTTACAAAAAGTGATGATTAGATGATCGGATCCAATGACAAGACAATGAGTCACTTAAGTACAGGTCGTCTGAATGTGAATCACATGAAAGAGTTGGCAAAACATGAATTACTTGAATGTCTGGACAAATGTATGGGAAGTAAAGCCATTGTTTGGGACCACGAATTGGTCGGAATCTTTGGATTAGTTGCCGATTATCTGCTCCTTAAAGAGCATCAAGTGATCCAAATGTTTGAGTTAAGGCCCGGAAGACTGCCCGCCATTACTGCCACTCATGTCATATATTTGACACGAACTAAGCTCTCACTTATGGACACCATTGCAGACAACCTCTTGAATGAAGACAAGAAGCCATCCATTGCGGCGAAGAATGGCCGCGAGTTTCACGTGATATTTGTTCCGCGAAGAAGTATTCTCTGCGAACGTAAGCTTCAAGTGTTGGGAGTCTATGGAAACTTGAATACCATCAGTGAATATGGGGTCGAGTTGTTCGCTCTCGACAGCGATGTCTTGTCTATGGAGTGGCAGAACTGCTTCCAAGAGATCTATGTGGACAACGACTACACATCACTCTTCCATTCGGCCAAAGCTCTGATGACTTTACAGACACTTTACGGCATTATTCCCAATGTGTTTGGTTTAGGAAAGTCGGCAAAAGTGGTCTTTGACTTAATGACCAAAATGCGAAAAGAGTTGTCTGGAAGTGAACCACAAATCACTCCACAAATTGATCAGTTATTACTCATTGACAGATCCGTTGACTTATTAACACCTCTTATGACACAAACCACTTATGAGGGACTTTTAGATGAGATGTTTGGCATAACTCACACCACAATCAAAGTGCCGCCCGAGAAGTTCGTTCACCACAACTCTGCAAATGATGGCCAGACTAGTGAAGAGACCATTGAAGGCCCGACAGAAGCCAAACAGTTTCACCTCAACTCCTCTGAAGAGCTGTTTGTGAAACTGCGAGACATTAGTTTCAAGAGTGTTGGGCCGACACTGAGGACGAGTGCCAAAGCATTGACACAACAGTACGACGAGAGACATAACGCCAAAACTGTGCGACAAATCCGTCAGTTTGTTGATAAACTGCCGGCCCTTCAAAGTGCCCGCAAATCGCAATCAAATCACACATCAATGGCTGAACTGATCAAAGAAGTGACAGACGAGGAGTCCTTTTATGAAACCATTCAAACTGAACACCAATTTGTCAATTGTATAGAAACTGATAAAACAAGTCCTTATATTGAAGACTGTATTGCAAAAGTAGATCCTTTAGTGAAAATTTTGCGACTCATATGTATTCAAAGTTTCGCAAATAATGGCTTAAAATCAAAAGTAATTGAGTTTTATAAACGAGAAATACTTCAAACATATGGCTATCAACACATCCTTACGTTTAATAATTTAGAAAAAGTTGGTTTAATTCGCAATTCTGGCACTTATTCTCATCGAGTTTATAATGTGTTGAGGAAGACATTGAAACTCACTGTACAAGGAGTTAATGAGTTGAGTCCGACAGACATCGCTTACGTACACAGCGGTTACGCACCACTCAGTGTACGACTGGCCCAATACCTGGACCATCCGGGCTGGCGGGCCATCACTGATGTCCTCAAAACACTACCCGAGCCTACGATAGAGGAGACGCAACACATGGCGCCCGGCCTTCGCAAGAGACGCAACTCCGGCGCTTCCATTCAGACGGGCGTTATTGAGGACCAGAAGTTGATTGCAGTGTTCTTTTTGGGCGGTTGTACTTACACTGAGATCTCCGCCCTTAGGTTCCTCTCACAGAAGGAGGGATTCAATGCCGACTTCATTGTCATCACTACTAATATCATTAATGGCAAAACATTTCTACAGTCTTTAACTCATCTGCCATTAAAATAAGACCAATATATTAGAATTGATACAAATATTATTATGATTGCAAATTGTAAACCACGTGTTGTTTTACTAATCAATTGTTTATTATATAAAATTAAATGAAAACTTTTAATTGTTGGCACATTTCATTATTTCATTTAACTAACCAATAGCTCCATAACTACTATAACGATAATTATATGCCATAATTAAGATTATACTAAATTTAAATATAAAATAAACTTAAATAATTAATTGGCATATAATCTGAAATCTGTGACACAAGATATCCGAGTACTGTATTTACACAAAAAAGATTTTATTTGTTGCTATAATGTGTGCAATTAATAAATAATAGAGAAATTAATAAATGATTGAATTCGTAATATTTTAGATAAAAATATTGCATCTCATGTAACACTAAGTTATTGATACATATTTTGATAACTTTATGATAAGGCTCTGTTGTTATCAAATCAGCTATAAATGAGTCCAAATCAATGTCCTTTAGTTGCATCCCTGGCGGCCACTATCAGTGCGTGAAGTGTGGTTAACGGTCGACATAACTTCAAGAATGGGTGCTATAATTGTCAAATCAATTACATTTAGTTATACCCAACACTAGTGGTTAGTGTGTAAACGATTAGTGCAAACCTTTAATAACTCAGATGCGGACCACCTTTTGTCGACATCACATTCAAGGCACTTGTCGAGGAAGTCTTGGAACAGTGGAGATAACTTCTCCTTCTCTTTGATTTCTGGCTTTCCGTTTGTGGCGATTAAGTACAGAGCCTTCGGATTAAGCGTCAGTTAGACTTAAATGTTTTACGAGACAAATACGGGTTCACTCACTCTTAAAGGGTTCTCATTGAGATACGGGGGCTCGCCTTCAATCATCTCTATAGCCATTATACCTAATGACCAGATGTCCACTTTGGGGCCGTACTGTTTGCGAGTGACCACCTCTGGTGCCATCCAATAGGGTGTGCCAACCATTGTTGTCCGTTTGTTCTGTTCGGGAGATATTTGAGCACAAAATCCAAAGTCTGTGAGTTTAACGCTGCCATCCATTCCTAGCAAAATATTATCTGATTTGATGTCGCGATGAATGACATGATTGTAGTGTAAAAACTCTAAAGCCTGAAGTACTTCGCGACATACGGCGGCGATCTGTCCCTCGTCCATACAGGTCTCGGTGACCACATCAGTCAACGAACCCCCCGGCAAGTACTCCATCACAACCCACAACTCTTCGCCCACGAGATAACTGTCCAAATAGTTGACCACATTTGGGTGTTTGTTCTCTCGCATGACTAAGATCTCGTTGACGATGAGTTCCTTCTTGGGCTGTTGTGATAGATTCATTTGTTTGATGGCGACCTCCATTCCGGTGAGTATCTCGATGGCGGTGAAGACGGTGCCACTGGCGCCCTGACCAATCTTCTCCATTTTGGTGAACTTGCGGTTCGGGTCACCGATAGTGACAATTCCCCGCAATTTCTCAATAATCTCTTCGTCACTCATTTTCTTTTTCTTTTGTTTCATTTGTTGAGCCGTGAGTTGAGTGGCGTTAGCGGCGGTCCCGACACTAAAGTTATTGTTTGTGTTACTAATAATACAATTATTATTACTGTTATTGTTAGCGATGTCTTTATTAACATTTTTCACTTCACAAACAGGTTTTGTATAAATAGATTTGGTTTTCTCGGGTCTGGCGGCTATGGGTGGAGGACAGGGTTCGCACAATTGATTATCACTCGATTGGTTTATAAGTTCGTCATCTGGAGTGGAGAGCGCCGAAGTGGTCGACGAGACCGTAGAGCCGGCGGAGCAGTGATTGATAATCAGTTTGGTATGTATTGGAGACACACTCGCACTTGAAGACGACGCCAGAGTTGTAGTGGTGGTCGTTGTGGTCAAAGCGGCCAACCGTTCGGCTAAATAACTCGGACGCGGACTCGTATCTAATTAACAAACAATTGCATTAAGTTTTGTCTTATAAGTCAACTCAAAAGACAGAGAAAGAGTTATATACTTAAGACTGGAGTCAATAAATTGTTAATCAATTCGGCTTAAAAGCAGCAGAAATTAAAAGTTAAGATAATGTATTAATACAGCAATCAATTCAAGTGCTAATCACAAAACGATGTCATCTTTTTAATTATCAACTAAATATCAATCACTAAGACATAGACATAGAGTAATAGACATAGAGATGTATTGTTAGAGTGAAGAGATAGAGTGAAGACATACCCAGATTACGATTGATAGTCATGTACTTCTCATCCTTGGCCTTAGCGCTCGAGTCATACCATTTGAGGACATCGAGGACTGCCTGTGGGTTCTTCTTCTGCTCGGTTTTCGAGATATTCGAGTTCTGCAGAAGTTGTGCCCAATTGGGAGGCATTCCTGTGAACTCACCGGTGATGGCATCGAAGCCCACGTGAACTGTATGTTCAAAATTGGTCGGAGGACTGATCACTGGCTTCTCTGATCCACGACTTGAGTTCTTCATATTTTTAGTCGTCTTTGTCTTGGCTTTGCGTTTCTCATCGTCTCTGTCGGGCTCTCGAGGAAGTGGTCTCATATCGACGGGAACAGTGAGTTCACGAGCCGACGCCAACCTCACCGGTGGTGCCGGAGGTTTGTCTGATGAGTACAACTCCGAAGACATCAATCTTTGGTGACTCATTGGATCCAATACTTTGATATTGTGGTCAGATATCAGACACAATTCACATCAAATGCTAAAAACATTAAACCAATCGTTCATTAATTCACTCAACACTACATATGATTGCAATTGTGTTTGCATTACATTTGACGACACACTCAGTAGTGTTACCACAACCTCAACACAACCTCAACACTACCTCAACACTAATCACACCTTATTCTCAGATTATCATCCAATCAGTCATTCAATACTCTAAAACCACTACTCATTTCATCATTTAATATAAACAATACAAATACAATAAACACTATATAAGTTACATAACACATTCAATAGACATGTGTGCACTTGATAAGCTATTGTGATACAAGTGGTCATCTGGTCATGCTACTATGCTATATGTTGCTATCATTACAACCATTATTGCTGTACTGCCTGTACTGACAGTACAGTACTGTAGTGTATGATTGTGTCAATTGATCCCATATTACGCCCATTTCAGTGACTCTGCAACGAGAGGGCGCCTCCAGTGAGTGGTGTATTGCATGTGATGTAGAGGTAGAGGACTGGAGGACTCGGAGGAAGTGTTGAATATAACAGAATCACTATTAATATCATATGATATGAATGTAAGCCATTCCTACAACTCGTCATCCAATCAACAATTGGGTGTAATTGTCCTCAATTCCGACGGATCCATATCCGAGGTATGACTTGAGTGCTCACAATCCTCTGTCATCGCAATATTCAATGCAATGAATGTTAGTCTTCAGGAGAACTGATGAACGACAAGAAAACGGCACAAATAATCTCATGGATTATCTCATCGATTCAGATGAATGAATGCGCGAATCCAAGTGATGGACACTTCAATACTATTACCAGTAAGTGATGATTGAACTGACATTACATTGTAATTGCAATCACTGTTAATGTAATACTCTATGAATTGAGTCCAATTTGCTGACCACTCGTATTGGGTACACATCTCGCCAAACAAGTCAACTGTCATTAAATGCAAACTCAATCCAACCCTCGCTCTCAACACTTGATCCCAAACCGCTTCATAAATATTATATCAATTATACAATTGTTATTATTATTAACTAATAAATAAGTATAATATAAGAGTAATAATCATTTATTCATTTAAAGAGTGGTAATAAGATTGCACTCAAGTTCTCGGATCACATCCATGTGATCGAAGAGATGAGATTCATAATTGAATTGATGTAAAAGAATGGTTTGTCTGACATTATTGTCTGCACTGTAATAGTATTGCAATTGATTGACCAGACATTGGGCTTCAAATATGTTCAATACATTGGAGTCGTAATCACCAGACATGAGGACAATCTCTTTACAACACTCTATGTCGGGAAAGTGTCGCACTGTTAGGCACACCTGTGCTCTCTCTCCGTGCCTATGATATTCACTCAATGGTGTGAAGAAACAGTTGTGTCCTTCAAATCGACTCAACATTAATTGATATGCATTGGATTGAATCGATTCGTTGGATTCATTGCAACTCTTGGGAACCGGGAATATGAATGTCTTGTATTTGTCGGACATATCAAACATCTTATGGTAAGTCTGGGAAGGAATCACACCATAAACGCAATCCTTGTGTCTGTGATATGCGTTCCAAATGTCTGTTATCTCTTGTGGTGTCTTATCTTTAATCGCATCTAATCTTAAGATATCATTGAGACTACGGTTTGACTGAAGAATTGGTTTCACAATCTTTTGGCCAATTTTCACATCACTTCTCATTTGTTCATTACTTTCACTCTTTGTATGTTTAGTCGAGTCATTGATTGTAGACTTCAATGCATTCTCTATTTTAGAGCCATATTTGGCATAAAACCGATTGTCTTCTATACCACCAGTTGATCCGTTTGGTGATCCGTTTGGTGATCCGTTTGGAGATCCGTTTGGCGATTGTGTGGACATTGACTTCGAAGTGATGATGAAATTGAATGGTAAGGCAAACGTGCGGTTAAGTTGTCGTCTGATGATAATTGAAGACATGATTGACATGATTAGTGCACTACTCATGAGTGGATCCAATTGGACAACACTATAACCATTGGATGAATGAATCGATTATAGAATAGAGATTCTGTTAATAGCAGTCAAATAATGGATTCAAATTCATAATATAATAACAACACATCTCTAAACAGTGCACTTCTCTCGTCATATATAACGTTACATTCATTTAACTGTACAGCTGGTTGTCCTTCCAGGGCAAATTAGGGGCAAATTAGGGGCAAATTAGGGGCAAATTAGGGGCAAATTAGGGGCAAATTGGGTGTAAAAATGGAGACTTTATTATTGTAATTTGAGGCAACTTTCTCAGATTTGCTATATTTTGATTTTCTTATGAATTAAAAAAATCTCAACGGATTGTAGCCTACAATTGACCAAATTGTCAAATAAAAATAATATGAATTTTCTAAACATCAAATATAGCAAATGTGAAAATTTACTTTTTCAGTTTTTAATTCTAAACAATTTGATGTATAAACTATTAAAATTGAACACAATGTAAGTAAATTAGTATATTATAATTTATAAAGTGATAGAAATAGAATGAAATTGTACCAAGGTACATTGTTTAATAAAAATGATTTCAAAACAAATATATGTAAAATAAATTGGAGTTTTATTCGCATTTTAGTCTTTTGTTAGAATTAGTAATTTTGGTATAAATCAGATGTTCAGGCATTTGGAAAGTGATTCGAAACATATCCTTATTGGGAGCCACTGTTCGCACATTAATGATCTCGAAAATGGTGGTCAACTCGTGGTCTAATACCTCTTCAACCATATGTTTGACCACTTCCTCAGCATTCTTTGTCACGTCTTTTACAAAGCAATAGCAATGAATGATTGGATTGATTTTATAGCTCGAGGGCTCAACTGAATGCAAGAGACCTTTGAATGCATCCAAGAATTGTATGGCAAGAGATGGTAAGTTCATAACAACATGATATTGTCGAGTACTCTCTGTGCCGTCAAAAGTGTTGATTCTGTCGATAAGGTGTTGTCGAATGACAGTTGCGATGAAATCTCTTGCATCCATGTTATAAGTGCTAACCATGTGTTGCACTTTATTGAGCTGACAATTATGTTGCAGCCATTTATAGCTCTCTGGATTCAAATCATTGGCCAAAACGTGACACTTTCGGCGTTTAGCAGAGGGTATAGCAAAGGGTCCGACGCCTGCAAACACATCATACAAGACATCAACTCCTTTGCGAAGTTTGAGTTGAATCCTCTCGTGTTCGGTCCCAAGACGTGGATTCCAATAGACGCGCCCGAAGTCGAACTCGAAGTCACAATAATATGACCTCAACTTAACCCTAGTGTCCACCAAATCTGATCGCTTAGCCAACACTTCCATTTCAAAGTTACGAAATTTATTATCAATTGTATTCACTTTATTCACCACGAGTTGAGAGCATTTGATTTTATCCAACAATACCTGTCCTATCAATTGTTTGTAAGCAAACGTATGTGGCTTTAGGTTTAGATGCAATATATGTCCGATTGTACTGAAACTGGATATTGAGTCCGACTCTGACGGAAGCACTGAATCCAACACTTGTTTATAACTATAGTTATCGTAAGTAATCATTAAATCTCTAAATTTAAGTTCACTTATTTGGCATAAATCTTGTAAAATATGTTTGCATTCAGTCTTGTCTTCAATCATGTCATTCACACTTGATATGAGTTCCGGATTTAATATAACAATACGTTTACTCTCTTCACAAATCACTGGATTAAAGTCTATTAGCTTAAGAAGATATGGTTTGAGGCATTTGATTGCACTCTCCATGTGTTGTACATCTATCTCAACGAATGGCACAGAAATGCTTTTATTGAACAAACATTTATCCAAACATGTCATCCCTTTAACCGATTCCGGCGGTGATAACCAATTATTGGTTGACATCTTTGCGTATATAATGCTTAACCACTTATTCGGCAAACATTTCAACTGTAATTCACATGTTATAATGTATTAAGACATTAGTCCATCAATTGGTCCATCAATACCATGTGTCAAATGGCAAATATATCACTTACCATGTAATTAGATATCATAGCATTGTTGTGTAGAAATAGCGTTAATTGAGTGTATTTTAGTGTCAATTAATGTCAATTAAATGAGTGTTGAAGTGTTGATGGATCACAACATAGACAACACGTGCCATAACTGCCACAATGATTACCACTATTTATCACTTCATATCACATATCATATGGAAATTGTGTAATAAATGGGAGTTTTATTATCACATGAATTACGTGTTTAATCAATGAATGAGTTAATTGTCATTAATAACACATTTATAGTGATTATGAATATATTTATTGTATTTCTACTTATTATCATATAATTTATACATCATTTGTATTACAATTATTATGTAATTATAATTAAATGTCATTTATTAATACAATATGTTTTACAATTAGATGATTAGAGTATGTGATAGATATTTAGACCCTTTTATTATAGGAATGAAAGTTTGTCTGTAAGTAAATGTACAGTAAATGTGCCGTAAATGTATGAAATGGTACCATTCGTACCATTCGTACCATTCGTGTACTCAAATAGTATTGATAATACAGTACTCGATGTTGACTTACAAACCGCATAATTGTCGTAATTGTGCGAATGATTGACCGATTGTTTACATTTGGTTGTAATTAATGATATTTTGATCATTGCATGTAATTATGGGAACCATTGACTTCTCGATGGACTCGAGAGTGAAGAAAAGTTATGTCCCTCTCGTCTCACAACAGGTTTGCCTAACATTTGCAACATTTGATTGAATTGATTGATTGTTTTGTAAATATAGTGTCATTTACGACATATTCAACGAATCGGTGCCAGAAATATAAGACTGGGATCTGAAGAGTCGATTGAATCCAATGGCAAACACAAAAGTAGTGATGAATTGTTTGGTTTTTGGTTTGCATTTTATAACACCAACGAAGAGCTTCTCTACGAAAGCGAAACCATTTTCAATACAGTTTAGTATTAATTATTACTCATTTAGACATGAATTGAAAGTAACTGAAACTAAATGCTTGATTGGCATAGAGTCCCGATTGGAAAGGTCTCGAGAGCTGCTCTTTGAGACATTCAACTATCAGTGAACTAACAATTAGGCTCTACTCCTGTCATACGATGAACAACACAAGCATTAGAGATGACATGTCTGTCCAATGTATGTCTAGTGAACTACTAATTGAATGGAGAGTCCATTTGAATGGTTTGGTATTTATCGGCGAACAAATACCTAAAGATAAGAGATTTAAAAGCAATACAATTATTTTGGGTCTAATGGAAGGCTTCTATACCAGTGTTGACTCTATAGCCAGCGATGAGTTACTCAATCAGTTATGTCTTCGTCGGCAAACCATCACTGTTTCGGACGCAACAGTTTTGAGGCACTCTTATTGTCTGAATGTGTTATACAGAATAGAAATGATGCAAAGAGTTATCACTCAAACACTTGATCTAATGACAAACAGACGCAACAAATTGGAGCAATTATTGGCACAAATGCTCGATAAAAGTGAACTCAAATCTAAAGTAGAGTTAATGGAAGTGAAAGTGAAGAATCTGGAGAAAGAGCTGGTTTTGTCGAAACACAAACTCAACACTTGTCGAGTAACTAAAGCTAAGAATGAGAGTGAGATTTGCGAGAAAGGGATCGATATGTTGAACAAAATCCAGGATCTGAAGCAACAAAAGGAGAAAATGTTTGTCAAGAAAGAAAAGTTAGATCAGACCAAAGACAAGGCCATCAAATGCAGGACTCAACTCACTAATAGACGCCACCAATTAATGCATGATATTTGCAATATATATCCTTTGGTGCCATTTCCTGATGGAAACGGAGGTTTCTCTATATGTGGCGTACATTTACCCGATTCTGAGCACTTTGATGGACACGACGACACTATGATATCCATAGCCATTGGATACGTAACACACATTTTAGTCATGATTTCGAGACTATTAGACGTAACCCTCAGATATAATATGATATATTTTGGGTCGCGTTCTTCAATTGTGGACCATTTAAACGATAAAATTAGTGAAAACGACCGCATCTTTGCATTGCATTCCAAGAGTGGAAAAGATAGGCTTCACTTCAAATATGGAGTCTTCCTTATGAATAAAAATATCGCTCAATTGAGACACTATTTAGGCCTTCAAACAAAGGATTTAAGTGCAACGCTTCCCAATCTCTATACTTTATTCAACGAGCGATTAGTTTCTTTGAATATAGACTCAACATTTGAATCGCCAGTCAATCGATGCGATGTTCCCAATAGTGGCCCAAATGGACACTCTGATGACTACTTACGAAGAGAACTGGAAGTAATGTTGAATCATAACCATCTTCTAGAGGCCGGTCCTTCCAAAGCAAATGCTATACGTTTAAGAAATCTGTCAAATGTTTCAAATAAAGCGATTGCCATTAAGAGCGAGAGCCGAAGCATTAGTCGATCTCTGGACAAAGGTTTAAATGAAATGGTAGCCAATACGAGCTCTAAAACAACTACCGATTCATACCCTACCGTCTCTTCATCCCTATCTTCTCACTCGCATTGCAATACAATTGCCAAACATTTACTCAATTCTAATCAAATGCATCATAACTTTAGTGAAACTGATTTTAAACATTTAGTCGATAAAAACAGATTTAAACAATTAGATGAGAATCAAATGTCTTGCTGTCAGGGATGTGATGAACAAATAAATAACGGTTTGAATGCAAGTCCAGTAAGTTATGAGAAGTGTGACCAAAACAACGTTTGGAGTGATCCCAGCAGTGATCCCAATATTAATAATTGTGACCAAAATTAGTCTAACTTTATATTATTCTAAATAAACTATTTATTTAATTTTAAAATAATTTTGTGTAAACTATTGGAGCATAACGTCATGTACTGTATTATAATTACATCTAAAATTTAATTTAATAAAATATTAGTTTCATCACATTTGTTGATCAATTAGTTACAGTATTAATAATTGTCATACAGTACTTTATTACACATGAACACAATGGACACAATTACTAATTAACGCCAAAGAATAAGACTGAAACTGCCATTCAATTTAAAACTACATTTTTAGATATTTATTTAATTTTGAATAAGATTACAATCAATAACTAATTGTTCATTAATAATATAGACAATAGTTAACTAAAGCTAATGACAATTTCAAATTGAAATTTTCAATATTCGTTACATTTAGTCCCAATTGTAAGTAAATCCGGGTTTTGGTGCAGTCTTAGAGACAAGCGGTGCCTCTTTAACGCCAGATTGAGTCAATTGTTTGGCCGTATTATCCATCACTTGAACGGGTGGTGTGACTAATCTTCGGGCGTCACGAGTGTAATAGTAATTAGCACTGGTTTCATGTGAGGGCCCGCCCGGCAGTTGTGCCGATGGATACGGTCTGTTGTTATACAGTATGTGTTATCATATGTTATGTGTATAATGTATGCATTCAATCAACGGACAGACCTGTGGGACAGATGTTGCGGTTGTCTGAGCTGTTCATTCCAAGACCTCTGCCATCAATACAAGTAAATACAGTTAATTCACATCTCATACCAAACATGTCTATAAGTAATACCCCTCTCAAGAAAGAGCGCAACATCTGAAGCAAAGGTCCCACATCTCGATGTCCTCCACTACTCATCCCAAATGGCAATCAAAAGTGATTTGGATGTGATTTGGATGTGATTTAGGTGTCGATGTCTATAGCATTCAAACAATACTATTGTTTAGTGTAATAATAAAAACAAACATTTCATTTCATTCATAGAGTCCGTGACATAACAAAAATGTCGATTGATTTGTAACACTATATATGTGTGGCTTATAGTGGATAATAGTATGAGTGATGTTATGATCATAAGTGGAAACAATGTCTAAACAATTGAATTCCTCGAGTTCTTCGCGCGACGAAGAAAGCAAACAATGGTTTGATTTGATTGACAACAAGTGCTCAACAAATACTAAAATAAGCCGAAAATTAATTGAAAAAAGAGATCAAAAGTTAACTGAAGACAGAGTGAGAGGAGAGCGAGAACTGAATCCATATTATCGTTTGGACACAAAGACTGGTCCAGTTGTCGATGAAGTGAATCCAAGTGTCAAAAGCACATCCACTGCAACATCGGTTTCATTGAGTGATCGGAACTCAATTAATGCTAAATTACTGAAAGCAGAGCTCATCGGTAACCAGACTTTGGCCCAACAGTTGAGAGACAAACTCAACCAATTGGACAATAAGGACAAGGATTACGATTCACAGCATTCACACCATTCACAGCATTCACACCATTCACAGCATTCACACCATTCACGCCATTCAAACGATTCACACATTGAATCCAAACAACACTTGTATTCTGTGGAGAAGAGAGCAAATGAAGAGTCCATGTCTTTGAAGGAAATGTATTTGAGAGCTAAGCAGTCGACCACTGATGACGAGAGCAAGAAGTTTATTGCAACCACTTCTCGGTTCAGTCGCTCATCTCAAGAGGAATATGAAGACATGCCAACAAAGAATAAGAGACACAAATATGAAAGCAATCATTATGTCAGACATGAAAGCGAAGGCAAAGACAAATGCAGACAATGTGTGGACAATATTGAGAGACATCTGATTATATCGAATGGAGAGAAGACTATAATTAGTGTTACGCCTTATGAGCCGTTTGTCACCGGATTTTGCCATATATTAAGCAAATGTCACTCAAATGTATCGCTGATAGCATCAGATGAGGACTGTTTGCTCGAAATGAATGAACGAAAACATCAAATCTCTTCGTTCTTCAACCGAAACAACAAAAGCGTTATTTTTATGGAGACTTACTTTAAAAGAGGCCGTCATTCCAGTCATAACAGACACTTCACTATTGAATGCATTCCTATTAAAAGCAAATATCAATCCGAAGCTCACATCTTTTTTAAAGTAAACGCTTCTAATTAATTGGCATTTATTTAATTATTAATTATTATTGATGTGAATAGAAAGCAATAATGGAGTGCGAGAGTGAGTGGGCTCTCAATAAACAGCTCATCCAAATCAAAGACAAATGTGTAACCAAATTGGTATACAGTATTGATACACTTGTGTTGATTTATACATTATTTAAAACCCAATTCATTTTTGATTAATAGATACCCAAAGGATTGTCTTATTTTTGGGTCACATTTGGTCCCAAAAATATCGGTTTTGCTCACGTTATTGAAAATGAAGAGACATTTTCGCCTCATTTTGGAAAAGTAATTGTTTGAAAGATATAATTATTTTCTCAATTGATTGATTGATTCATTCTTTTGCAGGAAGTGATTGCAGGGCTTTTAGATATTGAACCAAACAAATGGCTCAATTCTAAGAATCAAAATTATGAACAACAGTTCCAGAGAGTGGTGCCATTTAAAGATCATTGGAAACAAATGTTTGGTTAGCCTTTTGTTTTTAGCAGCAATTTGTGTATTAAGTAAACCACAATAAATAAAGTTATTGATTGATATCACTGTACATTTATATTGTGTTTAACTACAATTCAGTGTTGCATTCAAATATCTATGCTATCAACTACATAATATATGTACTCTATGTTATCAACCATAACCACCACCAAATTACCTTCTCCTTAAGACTATCTTTAGACTTAATGTTTAAATTATGTCTATGTTGTCAACTAATCTATGTTATCAACCAAATCCCAAGAACCATTCTGGTGGTAGCATAGATATTTGACTAAAAATTGTAGTTTATAAGACTACTTCGCCCCCCCTATACGGGAATAACATTGGATCCCTAGAAGAGTCCGGACTAGAGGTAGAGGACTTTAGAAAAGTCCGTCATAATTTAACATGGGGTTAATGTTACTTCTATAGGCTAATGTTAAGTCAATGGTAAATATTAAGTGAAAACCTCAAACTACGGTACATTTAAAACTAATTATTTTTACGAAACTTAAAAATTTGATTGTGATAAAGGGTCTCAGTTTCAGTATTTATCGATTGTATTTGAATTCACTGCTCAACCAATAATACTGTAGATATAAAATCATTTATTAATTCCTGTATTAATTATTGAGAGATACAACAATTAAT